AAATATTTGACATCATGCATCAACTGTTAGCTATTGCCTATGCTGGGAATACTGACCGCTCATAATCAAACTTGTCTAAGATGAACTCTTTCGACAGCAATAAATATTATCTTTTAGTCAGCTGACTAAGCACGGGCGATTCTATTTTTTACACTATGCCCGTGATTACTTGCTTAGGATTTGGGCTGCGCCAGATCATGACAAAACCTTTGCTTTTTGAAAGAGTTGGCTTGAGAAGTTAACTGGTTTGTAAAACGGTGAAAGCACACGCACCTGATTCGGAAGCAAGAAATAGTGCGACACCAATGGGAATGAAGATGATACCGATGCCAATTACTGTTGGTATGACTGTGGACGCTGTGAGGATTGGCTGCCATGCTGGCAGCTGCTGTTGTCGTAGTTTACTGGCTAAAATTGTATAGTTGAGATGCTCTTTACGATCACAATTAAATACAACGCAAAGCGCCATAGCACGGTCTGTTACTCTGGAGCTGACCCGCAAACGCTGATTTTCTGCAGCAATGTGCGCCTGCTGCTACCGTTCACGACACCTCTTCGCGTATCTCCATACTTCATAAGGATTGGGCGATTCAGATCGGCCGACCCTTATAACACTTATAAGCGCAATAAGAATCGGCTGATCGAGGGTGCGGGCGGTTGCGTTGCGCTCCCTGTTGAGTGTCGATTTGCCTTTCCGCACTTTTTTCTTCCGATTGACTAGCTTTCTTTCTTCAGGTTGTGTTAGAGTTAAAGTCAGCAAGTGTGCCGGAAAGATGAGGAGGAACCCCAGGCAAAACGGTATTTGACTGCGGCGCAGCAACGCAACCGCTGCGCACCCTCGATCGGCCGATTCTTATTGCGCTTATGAGCGTTATAAGGGTCGGCTGATCTAAATCGACCGTCGCTCATAAGCGACAATCAGAAGCAGCAACTATACGCGTCATATGCTCGCGCACCTACGGACAATACAACATCCGCTGTTTAACCCAAGAATGAACTTTACTTGTTCCAGAGAAAGCTATAATACGCATGCGAGTACGGACGAGTAACGACTAAGAACTAACCTATACTCTTAGACTCAAGAAATGAGGATACTATCAGCGGAACAACAAATACAAACCATAACCAACCTTTCGGCTTATTCTTCAGAACTTTCTCATCTGGCGAGTCTGCTGCAACGTGATTTTGACCAACCACGTCTTGCGGCGGCATCCGCTGCTTGTTTACTGGAAATTTTCAAAAATTTATTGTTTTATATTTGACGCAATGGCGACAATAAACACCGAAAGTTGCAAAAAATGGGTTCAAAGAAGTGATAATCCAAAAGCCAATAGACGCAGGAGATACCATTGTGATAGTGAACCTCACTTATGCCAACTAGGATTATTTCAGATTTCATCAGTATCACTTGAAAACATGCAGGGATAAAATTGCAACTCGATATTATATTTTGGGGCTGAAGAAAATTAAATATGCTTATTCTAATGTAAGTCTTCTTTGGTGAAAAAGCACAACTCAGAAAGCAACAAACAAAAACCTTTTCAAAAATTTGAATAATTTTAAGAAACAAAGAAAAACTTCTGCAAAAAGTAGAGGGCTTTGTGTCCCATTCGATTCTGATCAGGTTTTAAGCAAACTTATCAGCGGCCATGATCCCGGAGCGATGAGCAAACGCGCCGTATAGTGGATGATTCAATGCTCATTCGCAGAAAATCAGTCAACAAATAGTCAATATCTTCTATCATTTGAATAAGTGCGTTATGTTCTTAACGACACTCTTAAGTGGTCTGTTAATTTGAGACTGTTCGAAGAAAACATCACAAGCAAACTTCTGGAAATTCCGAGCAGACAG